ACACGTGACACTTTTTCGTCTCCTATTATATATAGATAGATACTAGTATACGTATCCGTGTGTTGCGTGGTTAGTAGATAAGTGTAATTGTAAATACTAATTTATTGATGATTTTATAATTTAACTTATTATAAAATGATATTGTAAATTTATATGAGAGAATGTTAGCATTTAACACCTTGATAGGTTATAAAAGAATTTTTATGGAAACAAATCTATATGTAAATTTAGTGCATTATCTTAATTTGAAAATAATAATATTTAATATTATTTAATTTATTTATATTTTAAATTATTCAAAATCATATTACTTTGACCAAATTCATATTGTCTTGTTAGAATAATAAAGATATAAGAAAATTTAATCGTTATAATAAAATAAATATAACTTAGAAAATCCCTACAATTATGATAATGCTACACATAAAATTAAAAAAAGTAAGATTAAACACTTAAATATCAAAGTGTAGGAATTCTACTCAAATTTTTAAAAGGGATAAGGGTCTGAAAAATATCCTAACTTTGGTCGAATTTACTGTTGCGATACTAAACTTTCATGAGGACCTATTACCTCCCTAGACTATTTAATACTGTATTTTAAACATATATATTTGCCCACGTGGACATAAAAAATAATGCAAAATTATAAATAGTAATGTGTCCACGTGGGCACATATATACCTTTAAAATACACTATTAAATAGTTCAGGGGGTAAAACATACGGTATTAAATAGTCTAGGGAGGTAATAGGTCCTTATGAAAGTTTAGTATCGCAACATCAAATCAGACCAAAGTTGGATATTTTTCAGACCCTTATCCCTTTTTAAAATTGTCTTTCAATTTTTCTAAAAAATCATATATAAATTATATGATATTTTAAAAAATGATACAATTACATGATACTTTAGTACTATATAATTCTTATAGATGGATGATATTATAATAAATTTATTTCCAAAAATTAATTACTTTGATTGCTTTCCAACCAAAGTAGAAATTATTTTTATATATAAATGATATGTTTTGTGTGGGCGTTATGTCACGATCCAACCCACCGAGCCGTGTGGGCACCCACTCTAACATCTAAGTAGGAGAACCCTCATACCCCAAAAGTCAACCATGCGGCAAGTTTATGAAAGACGAATTTAATTGAGAAACATAAATCCTTATGAATAAAATCTCTTTAAATAATTACTAGTTAAAACTTGTAAAGTAATTAACACCCCCAAAAATCTAGTCTAAACAGGTACAAGAGCTACTAAGAGTACAATTTGAATAATATAATAAATGACACAGCTCCCATTATGCGGGAAGAAAAGTAGAAGTTGCTGGAGATTTCTTCGTTTTCACCTAAGGAAACATCATCGATCCTGCAACTAGATTATGTCAAAAGACATAGCAAGAGTAGTATCAATACAAAACACACGTACTGGTAAGCATCATTAGTCAACCTGACGCCCACCGCATAATATAAGAATTCAACTAATAAGAACATGTGATAACACCCCTCGCTTCTCCACCTTTACTCTCTCTCGAAATACCTCCAATTCCCACTAGCATTTCAACTACTAACCACTTTACCCAACAACCTACTTACTAGGTTCTTGATCATAGCCTAACCATTCTAACACATAGAGAATTCCCCAATTACAACTACCATCATCCCAACTAACCATGCTTTCGTCGCACCCTTACTACCCTTCATAATTCCCAAACTTGGCCACATAATACCTCATGTCAAGCTTTCTACTAACCACAACTCCTTATCTTCCAAAGTGAATTCCACCTAAGTAATTACGTCACAAACACTATTCCCACTCCTTGTCACTACTACACACGACACCTGTTTACCCAGTTACTAACAATTCTTGCAACCTTTACTACCCACTTACCGTACCACACTCTGATTTGGGTGTTTCCCTTCTGGATCACCCAACATCAAGGTACATACCACGTTACTCTGCATATAATACCCATCAAGCATAAGACTTAATAACTATAAAAATACTCCGATAAATACAACATCAATTATCACATGTATATATCGAACATATACAATAATCTCACTTTTACGAACAACGAACAACTTCACATTCCTCAAATCACAATTATATCACGTCATTGGTCCTCTCATGGAACCCATACCCAAACTGTTAGCATACTGGAGCGTGGTACCCGATCCAAATATTATGTCGGAACGTGGCAATCGATCCCAATTAGTTATGCCGGAACGTGGAAACCGATCCTAATTAGTTATGCCGAAATGTGGCAACCGATCCATTCAACACAACACAATCACAAACACAAGTACATTCTCAATAATCATAAAATCAAGAAGTGATTCATGTCATTTAATTCTTCGTTCATACTTATTTACAACTCGTGTGATCAATAGTGCAACCTTCGCACATACACATACACATACATTATAACGAAGCAATAACAAGACTGCATTCACACGAACATGGTATCACACACTACAAGAAAAACAGTCTCTAAGGAAGGGAAATATGGTCCCTGAAAGTCAAAATCTGGTCCCAAATGAGCATTTGAGACCTGAAACATCTGGTCGTCACCCATCCAACTTCCTTCGCTATCGCCCAATAACGACGGGACAAAGAATCCAATCATTAAAGCCTTTTGGGACGGGGATCCAATCTGGTCGCGACAATATCTTTAAGGACGTTATTTCTGGTCTCGAATAGATCAAATATATTTTGGGAAATATGCTTCTCAGGTCGGTAAAACTCTATAGGGACCACCAAAAACTAGTCGTAATAATCTTTAGAGACGATATAGATCTGTTCCTAGTAATCTTGAGCGACCATTAAAAACCTGGCCTTAGAATTGCTTTAAAGTCGAGAACTATCTCGTCCTAAAATAGCTTTGGCGACTATCAACAACCCCATCCTTGAAGAGCATTAGAGATGAGCAACAAGCCTGGTGATTATTGGCCTTTAGAGACCAACATAATTTTTGTCCTAGATGGAGCACTAATACATTTCAACAAATATCGAATCGCTACTAAAAATTTCGCTACGAAAAGATGATATATATATAGAAGAGACAGAAAAAATAAGATATATATAAAGAAAACAATTAATTACGATAATCTAGTTGACATCCATGATATATGTTTCAATGTTTGCTTAACGAAAAATCATAGCTAACATCCGAGTTAGACTATGGCATCAAGTTTTACATTAAATTTGTAGCAATCTAAAAGCGAGCTCATTCATCTTCTTCTAAACTTGTATCTTGCATAGAAGAATGAACAAAAGCTAGGCAAAAAATTAAAAGTTCCAATCTTCATCGAGAGTTATCCAGAAACATCAGCAAAAGTTGCAAGAAAATAAGAAAAAAATCTATTAGAAAAACTTTGAGATGCATTGACCGAGAATCTAATATCTATTTTAAAGATAATAGAATCTAATATCTATTATCTATCTATATATATATATATATATAGATAATGAAAACAAATAGACTCAATAGCTTTAGAGACGAGCAGGAATGAAAAATAAGTCGAAAAAAACAACTGCAATGAACAAAAACAGGGCAAAAAACTCATGTGAAATAAACATAATCTCGAAACTTATAACAGTGCTAATGCAGACAGTAACTTTGCATTGTCCAGAAATAGGTCTTGTATATTTCCATCCCCATCCCAACCCTCCCAAGTCCCACCAAATAATGCAGACATAGATGTTGATTTTACTTTTTTTTGGGGATGATCAGACCTTGTGTGTTTAATCTGGAATGCAAAATTCGATTGAACCACCTCTGTATAAACCACAAGAGAACTTATGGGATAGAATAGTAATCCGGGGGAGCTAACTATCCCGTTGGACATACAATTAGAAGAATTAATAAAACATTCAACTGGAAATTAAAAAGGCATCACTGTAGGAACATGAACTGGGAAGTCTTGAATCTCATCAGTTTCATGGATTTTCTCCAGATCCTTAGGATTAATAGTTTTTAGGGCATGCCAAACAACACTGTTACATTTGAAACCTAAGCCAAAACCTATTTGCCATGCTCTATCACCTTTTTTAATCCTACATTTGGCCTCAGAGTAGTCCAATTCATACCACAATGAGCTACTTGATGTGTTTCATACCACATACATCTCTGCTAACCACCCTCATCTTTGTTCTTTCATTTGCAGCTTTATATCAAAGTACTAGAAATCAAAATGAGGATGACCCTACTAATACAATAGTCAATACATTTCTTTATATCAGCATTCAATGTTTCTCTCGAACTGTACTCATATTAAACAACGTTAATTGCAGATTTTTCGTTGGTAACTTGGATGCCAGTCAATTTAGTGATACAGAAACTAACATGCTGACAATTTTATGGCAGAAATTATCCAAACCAGTGGAGTGGTGGTTATTATGAGTATACATTAGGATATGATGCCTATGGTTATTCCCAACCTACTCAGGACCCAAATATGTCCTATGCAAGCTATGCCGGGTACGAGAATTATGCGCAACCTCCACATCAACAACAAGTAAATTGAGTCCTACTAATGAATGTCTTAATCTGATGGTAAATATCTATAGCCATTGCCGCAGAGACCAATGAAGAAGAAGCTAGTCTTGAAAAAGAGCATTTAACCAAGAGCTAGCAGAGGATGAGGACATGGTAGAGGGACTATTGAGATAGAACTATCATGTCAGGAATTAAAAGCCTTCTTATAATAAAATAAAGTCGGTATATTCTTACTTACTTGGTCAGCAGAAAAACAGTTGTCATTCAGTTGAAACATGGATATTGTAGGTGGTACATCTGATTGTTGAGCATCAAAGAATTCATTCATCTTCATTATTGCTTTCATCTCATCTTCTAAGGTAGACAATCGATCATTCAAGGATTTGTTTTCCTCATTCAAAGATTTGTTTTCTTCATTCAAAAATTTGTTATCATCTCGAGTTGAACGTAGCGTAGACAATAGTTCAGCCTTTGAAGAAGTTCCACCTTACAAATCTTTTGCCTTTACTCCACCCCCAAATCCAAATACATGGCTACGAGTTTGTGGTCCACAACATTTTTCAACATTCTCTATACTAGATAGAGATGGATCTTCTTGAACTATTTCCTCAAGTTGAGCCTACAAAATATATAAAAGGACATTTTCTATCAAAACACATAACAATTCCAAGCCGTTAAATTATTCAATTTACCAAACGTACATGTTTTTCAATTGCTTCAGGTTCAACAAGCTTGTTATCTTTCTTACGAGTCTCAAAGAAAATAGTCGCCAAATCTGGTGGATTGCCATCTTTCCCACCCTTTACATCAAAGTCAAACACGTCAAATAACACAAACCTCGTAAATACTTCATCAAGGAAAATAGTTTTTTAACAATACCTTTTGATAAATAATCTCTCGAATAGGTTTGCTACCAATATGATGAAGCATCTTCAACTTAGATCGGTTTGTTGCATTCCTGATGCTTCTTGCCTATATTTGTGAAACAATAATCTTAATTAGAATAATTATAACAAAATTATTGATACATAAGGCATCTCATGTCTGAACAAGATTCAAGGTTGTTTCCTAGTAATAAACTTAAGCAGCATACATACCTGAAAACTTTAAGAATTAAAATGTTCCTTTACTAACCATTCCCATTCTTTTTTGTCTACTCCCCTTGGGATATTTTTCAGAGAGTGTTGAATGGGCTTATCCTTCACATATTTTGCATGTAAGTGTCCTCTCCATTTGTTCATAACTCATTCATTCATCCAAAGATATGATCACGATGATCATTCATGTCAACAACCTCAAATTTGTGCTACGAAAATCGGGACATGAGTTGAGTTATTACCAAGGGAGAAGAATCAAGAAAGGATAACAAAATGACAAAGATATGTTTTTCTAGTATAATAAGCAGCAGTTCTAAAGTAAATAAGATAAGAAGACTAGGAAATTCCATTAGATGTACTTCTTTTATTATCCTCATTCCTTTAGGATGTTAATTGTGTAAGATTAAGGATCACTTTTCTTGCTTTTTAGAACACTTCTCATTTAACTGTTAAGCAATAAACAAAGCATAACAGAGAAAGCAATACAAAGTAGAGAAAGAAATTGCAAAACTGAAAGAAAAAACTAGAGAAGATTGTTTTGCACAATAGAAAAACACAAAACAGGGGACATTGCAGAACAAATTTGTTAGACAAATATTATAGGCAGATCCTTGTCAACTTATGATAATGAAAGATTTGAATGGAGTTAAAATTTGTTACCTCAACAGTTGCCCACATATGACTTTGCTTTTTTGGCTTAATATCACTCCACGAGGTTACTCCCAACTGACACATATTACGATCACGAATAATTTTTTCTAAATGCCTCGAAAACAATTTGCTATTTTTTCCAACAGTTCGATTATTGTAAAATATTACTTTGAGCTTTTCTCTGTTTTCAAGTGAAGCAACTTCTTTGCACATGTTGCTCCCTCGAACTCTTCTTACCTTTGTAGGATTAGATGAACCTACATTGCATAATTTAGTAAGAACTATAGCAATCAAATTCAACTTTATAAATTAATAAGATATGGATTGAAAATATCGCACCTTTTTCAGTTGTTTGAGAGTGTTCCATAACCTGATCAATAGTTTGCATATCCTCTTTCTCAAGAATCATTTTATCCATTATTTGCATTTCTTGACTAGACTAGTACTCCAACTACTAACCACTTTACCCAACAACCTACTTACTAGGTTCTTGATCATAGCCTAACCATTCTAACACATAGAGCATTCCCCAATTACAACTACCACCATCCCAATTAACCTTGCTTTCATTGCACCCTTACTGCCCTTCATAATTCCCAGACTTGGCCACATAATACCTCACGTCAAGCTTTCTACTAACCACAACTCCTTATCTTCCAAAGTGAATTCCACCTAAGTAATTACGTCACGAACACTATTCCCACTCCTTGTCACTACTACACACGACACCTTTTTACCCGGTTACTAACAATTCTTGCAACTTTCACTACCCCCTTACCTTACCATGCTCTGATTTGGGTGTTTCCCTTCCGGATCACCCAACATCAAGGTACATACCACGTTACTGAGCATATAATACCAATCAAGCATGAGACTTCATAACTATAAAACTACTCCGGTAAATACAACATCAATTATCACATGCATATATCGAACATACACAATAATCTCACTTTTATGAACAACAAACAACTTCACATTCCTCAAATTATCACAATTATATCACACCATTGGTCCTCTCATGGAACCCATACCCAAACTATTAGCTTACCGGAACGTGGTACCCGATCCAAATATTGTGCCGGAACGTGGCAACCGATCCCAATTAGTTATGTCGAAACGTGGCAACCGATCCCAATTAGTTATGCTGGAATGTGGAAACCGATTCCAATTAGTTATGTCGGAACGTGGTAACCGATCCATTCAACACACCACAATTGCAAACACAAGTACATTCTCAATAATCATACAATCAAGAAGTGATTCATGGCATTTAGTTCTTCATTCATACTTATTTACAACTGGTGTGATCAATAGCGCAACCTTCGAACATACACATACATTATAACAAAGCAATAACAAGACTGCATTCACACGAACATGGAATCACACCCATCACCTACGAACTACTCATCCACGAATATCTTATGAGCATCAATTCCACCATACCTAACCCTAGTTCATCATCTAGGGTTTCTTTCTAGGATCTAATCACGTTTTATTCGGTGCACGAGGGCCTACACATAAATCCTACCGTTGATTGCATATATTTAGCAGTGAACACAAATTTACAACTACTCAATTCATAAAACCTAGCCTACCTTGGCGCCAAGCAACTTCACAGAGTAATTGGCTTCAGATCTTGTTTCCGAAATACGCGACGGTGATCTTGGCCGGAAATCCGCAACCCATCGCCATCCTTGCGCTAGAAATCTTCTTCTCCTTCCTTCTCGAGCTTAGAGAAACTTTTCTGGGGTTTCTAGGGTGTTTTATGACGTAATTAGGTATTTTAGGAAGAAGGGAGAAGTAAGGATTCACGTTATTTACATTCTGTCTCGTCTAACCCGCTCTGGCGCCAACTTACCCCGCCCTGACGGCGGCGCCCCAACGACACCTTACCCTCCTTGGTGGGACAGTGGCCCAGAGTTTTCTCGAAATTTTTCTTTTCCTAATTAACGACGGTTCGGATCGTTACACGTTATGAGCCTTTTTCCACTTCTCTTAATAATATAAGAAAAATATAGATACAAAATATATATATATATATATATATATATAATTCTGTACAAATTATATTACATAAACTTAAATAATAAAAGAAATCTTTATAGCTCAATTGAAATTTAGAATAACTACATTAATTCTAAACTAACAAAATATATTGCATAATTTATTTATTTATAACATTCTTCTCCACTTAGAATTTCAAAATTAAATATATTTTTTACTGTCAGTTTAAATTATTTGTTTTCTAAAAGTATCTGCATTTTGTTTTATCCTCATTTTATATTCTTTCTTGTTATTTTTTATTCATGAACGTTTATAATTTAATTTTTGAATTATATGCAGCCAATTTTAATTTAAAATAACTACATCAATTCTAAACTAAGAAACTATATTATATAATTTATTTATTTATAAATTTCTTCTCAACTTAGAATTCAAAATTTAATTTTTTTATTATAAGTTTAATATTTTTTGTTAATACATCTGCATTTATTTTTATTCTATCCCCTTTTATATTTTTTCTCGTAATTTCATTTATGAACGATCTATCTTAATTTTTCATCCTATGCAACAAATTAAAATTAATAATTATTATATCCCATTACTCTCATTAATTTATGCTATGATTGATTTAAGGGTCTATCAAAAATAATTTAGTTCGATTTTTTCTTTATAGACCCATTTTAGAAAATTACACTGAGTATGTTCTTATTTATACTATTACTTAATGTTCAATTCATGTATGCCTCTTTCTCTTTTTTGTTAGTACAATAAAAGTAATAATTAATCAATATAATACACATTGATCACAATAATAACTTACTAAACTCTTGCAAACATATCATTGTCACAATATAAATAGATGCTCACTAAAGAATCAAACAACATTATTCATTCTATTCAATAAAAGAAAAAGAGATTGACCAAAATAAAAATTATTATACTAATTAACACTATTTTTTGAGATATGTTTTCTTACAAAATTCTTTCTTTAATAAAGTATAACAAAAAACAATTGAATTAATACAATTTAATACATTTGACATTTTTTTCTACCTACAGGCTAAAACACCCAAATCATAAGGAAAGAATTATTTTTAATATTTTCTTCGTATACTTGTTCTTTACATTGTCTTCCCAACATCTCCCTATTACCTTTTTTACATTACTCATACAAGTCCAAATAACCACAAATAATGATCATAGACAACGTTTCGAAGTGTAAACAATCTTATAATGAGAACTTGAGAAGTGTCATTAACTCTTCATCATAATTGAAATGATAATATACTATCTTATAAGAGGGAATTACAACAAAAGGTAATAAAAAACAAAACATATATGTAATGACAAATAATTCATAACACAGAACTTCAAACGATTCGTAAATTTCATACACACAGATATAAAGCACATATACATGATTGACATGGAAAAAAAATGTTGTGCTTCTTTTGCAGTTTGCATCCAAGGAAACTAAAACTTGCATACACGAGACCGCATATTCATTTCTTAAGTGTTGTTTTCATCCTAAACTACATCCACAACATCTATTAAATGTAGCATCCTATAATTGGTGTTAATAAAATATCAAACAGATATGCTACATTATATTAGATGTAAAAAAAATTATGTTGTTTTTGATGATGTTACAACTAAAAAATTGCCACCTTCTCCTAATGCAACCATTCAAAACAATCAAGTCTCTTTAGTTGTAATGTAATCAATGATAAACGCTTACCACTTTTGTAACTGTGCTTGATACATGAAACAACCTCTTTGCATCATCATATTCCTACAATCAGAGATCTGTTTCAACAATGCAGAAACTTGGCATAAGTGTGAAATGAATTATGAAGTAAGTGGTTTTATGGTTTAGATTACAGTTGATACAATTTAAGGGTTGTGTATATCTTCAAACGTGGAAGGAAGTTGTTAACAGTTAAATCTTATCTTAATAGCAATTTATTTTTAAAACTGGTCTAACATTAATTTTAAAAAGGGTTTCAATTAAAGCATTAGATTTTAGGGGAAATTTAGGAGAAGTAAAATTTTGAATAATATTATTTTTTTATATTATGTATTTAAAATAATTTATTTTTAAAACTTTTCTAACTTATTTCTGATTTTTTTTCTCCAAAATCATAATTTATTACTAGTATGCGTGCCCGCGCGTTGCACGTATGATTTAAAATGTAATAATTTTATGATTAAAAATAACTAATAAAATGTATAATGCACTTAATAATATATTTAATTTATTATAATAACAATATAATAATACAAATCATTAACTTGTGTATTTGAGCAATATTAAATTTACATTATTAGTACACAATTTAATTTATTGTAATAAAATATAATATAATATTTTTTATATATAATTTATTCTTTTTTGAATAAAAAAATTATGTTAATTTATCAATTCTAAC